CTCTGCTGGCATTAGTGGATAGAGGAGAAAGAGAAAAATTGCTTACCTCTGTTCACCTTAAATAGTAATATTAAATTTATATTATGCATTCTATATTTAATCTTTCTATATAATCTTAAGGTAATGCTACAGAGTGAAAATGTAATCTATTAATTATCACTAATCTTTTTTTTAATGACTCAGTAAGAGGTTCAGGCAGACACAAACACCACATAGATCTTTTCAATAATCAGATAAATAAATAGTAGCAGATTTATCTTTTTTTATAAATGAGTACAAGTGACTAGAGGTATAAGGAAGTAAAACAACTTCAATGAGTGTTAGAAAGTCACAGGCAGAAATAAGATTGTAATTTAGTTTGCTGTTACTTCAATAATAAAGAATAAAGAGTCATAAGATATGAGTTTAAAATGGTAAGTATAGGAAGCATTATAGATTTCTTTTAAAATTTAACAGATTATTTTAATGCATATTTTAAGTGATTGTATAAGGGAACAAAGAGGAATTGCCAGTTGCTCCTAAATAAGAATTACCAGTTACCCTTCTGTGACATTGCCTTGTTTAGTTTTAAAACTGTAAGACTGGAAACATCCTGAAAAGGAAAGGGGGCAAAAATTCATATTGAAGAAAAATACCAAAGATGACTATGACAGGGTCAGAGTCACAGCTGGAGAGAGTTTAAATAACCTTGTCTTCTTGCTCTCTCTAGTGTAGCACAAAAGTGAAATCATGGATGCTCATATTAGATTATTATTAAAATACTTCTCTTGCAATTCACGAGGAAACCATCCACTTGTATCAACAATCAAGTCTCTATAATTCATAGTGAAAGAAAAATAACCTTAATGTGGATTATTTCAAATTTTTTGAAAATTTCAGAAAATTTAATCCTAAAACGATTTGCTTAATCAATTATGTTTAGTGTTGGTTGATGTCCAGAGTGACTAGCAAATTATTAACTCTAAAGCAGGAGAAAGTTGGGCTGAGATTTTTTTTTAAAAGTCCTGAATAATTCCAGAAAGTAAAGAGATTACCTACAGTAAATAGAGCAGGTAGTTTATTTCAGTGAGCAATTTCATGAATGTTTGTGTGTACAAAAAAACCACAGCATTTTTATTTTTAAAAGTGAAAATATTAGTGTTCACTATCCAACTCTCTCAAGCTTCTGTTTCAATTAATTTTAAGAATTCTCTCATCACAACATAACTTTATCCAAACTACCATCCATCAAGTGTCCAAGTTATATTGGAAAATCATGGAATCTGAATTTGTGTTAAACCAGTTTCAGCTTCTTTTTAGAAACACATGCCAGAAAGCTTATCTATATATGCAATATAATTATGTGTCACTGTTCTACATATCACTTTTAAAAGAATTATAAAATGCTACAGTATTGCATTCAAATTAAATTCATCTGCTAGTCTCAAAGAGACAAAGCAAGGAGTAAAAAAATAAAAGAAGTGATTACAAACCCAAATACAATAGGTGTTTCATTCACACACCCCAAAATTGTGAATTGCAAAGGATAATTTTTAAAAAATACTTGAGTTTAAAAATATGTTTTTGAAAGGGTTCATAAAAGGCAATATCTCAAACTTCAGAGGTGATATTGAGCAATGGTGTACTCTATCAAAATACATTTACGCTCACATGATAATGATAAATGTAGATAAAGATGTGGATAAACATGAAAATGTTTGAAATTACGTTTGATTTAGAACATTTGAAATAGTCTCCTTAGGAATTGAAATATATAAATATTTATATATTTATATAATAGTAATAGTCTTTCAACTTAATTTATCCCATATGTATACATAGTACATGCACTACCTTTTTAAGCCTATTAGTAAGAGCTGCAAATGGAAAGGCAAATTAAGACATTGATGTAAATAATTCAGCAAAATTACTTTTCCTAATTCTATATCAGTCGACTGAATGCCACTCTCAATTTTCTGTGTCAGTTTCCATCATAACCCACAGCCGAGTCTTTGAAATCAAACCTAAAAATGAGAATTGTAACACCTATGGAGACAAGCGTGTTTTCTCTCTGGACCTCTAATTCTTTCTCAAAATTTAAGGGCACATTTTCAAGACATGATATTACAAATAATGTATCTTGTCTATGGAACAAGTAGAATCCCTAGAAACAAAAATGATTCTCTTTATAAGAAATGAGGCAAATTTCTTAAAACCTTGGAATCGTTTAGTCTCTTTTCACTTTCATAGATTAATGAATTACTTAATTTATTCAAAAATTTCTTCTCCAATGGCAATACAATTTTAATGTTCTATCCTGAGAAATTAAAATAAACAATTATTCAATTTTCATGTAAGAAAAGAATACCAAAGACTAAGTTTTTAATCTGCCTGCTTGAAGTTGCATTCTAGTTTCTTGCTCCTGTATCTCTGAAAGGTATATATTTCAACGCCATCAATCAAGAATAATGGAAGTGGAGGTAAATCAAATTTATTAGACCTTGAGATGACAATTTATAATTAGCTAGTTTGATCAACTGATTTACTTCCAATCTTCTCAATCACATTTTACTATTGTGGTGGATAAAAATTCAGCTCAGCTCCATTTAAATTCTAGAGTTTTTCCTCAATAAAATGAAGTAACATCTTCCCTGAAATGGTCTTTCTAATTTCCATTCCATTTTTGAAAATAAGAATACCACAAATTTTGGTGACAACCTAACTAGTAGAATAAAGAAGATAAAGAGACCCATAAGTATCCAAAGAATTTCTCTTTCTACTTCAAAGAAAAATATTTTTCTTTTCTTTTTCATAAAAACACACATTTTAGATCACCTGTTAAACAAGTGAGAAGGTAGGATAGATCACCTGCTAAACAAATGAGAAGGTAGGATATACAAAATTAAAGGCTCCCCTTACCAGTTACCCTTTTGCCATTCAACCTGTTTTGTTTTGTTTTAATTATCTTTAATGTACTAGCATTTTTTTTTTTTCACAGACTCAGTGTCAAATTTTAACAATCTGGTATTCCAGTTAAGTAAATATAAGGGAATATATTCCACACAACAGCTATGTTATGAAGAACATATCAGAAACTCATTTATAAGACAAAGAATTAAATTCTCTTGGAGAGAGAGCAAAGTAAACATATCTCATACCTATGTATATAAATATATGTTATCAAAACAAAAAGGAAAAGCTAGGTACTAGATGCATCTTTGAACCTACTCGTGTAATACTATGTCTGGTGACAAGGCTTGCATAATGATAATTTGACAAAGTCCAATACTGGAACAGAAACAAAAAGTGCTTTACAGAAATTTCCAGAATATACATGAATCAGAATCAAAAGGAATCTCAAAAGATAAGTGTGTCTGTCCCTGTGTCATTGGCAGAACTACATACTAAGCTCTCTTAAACTAAGAACATGGAATTGGAAGTTAGTTACATTACAGAAGTCTTATGATTTGGATTGAAAGCATCCATTCTTTCAAACCCTGCCCCATTTCACGATAAACTTCTAAGAGGCTTTTAGGTTCATTGCTATTGAAAATGCCTGGGTATGTGAATCCAAGGGAGAGGAAAAGGAAAGGCGAATGCTCATATAGGTGTGGAGTATGTACAAGTGTGTGACGATATGCAGTGGGTACCTGTATGTATAGTTTCTCGATTTCCTTGAACCTTAGCAAAATCCTGTGATTGCAGACTTGGAAGGATAGCTGGTATGTTGACATTTCAAAGCTCTGGAAAACTTTCTCCAGCTGCAAAACTAGCAAAACTGTCCCCGTGAGAGGGCAGTAAGGGGCCAAGCGCAGGCCTGAGTCCTCTCTGGCTGTCCATCCAGGACTGCCCTGACTGTCAATCTTCACTCTGCCACCAATCTTCACTCTGCCACCTGCGCGGTGAGACCATCAAGAGCTCCCGCATCAGGCTCCTCTGAGGAAACAAGGAAATATGCATCTGTGCGGTACGGGCCGCCGCTGGAGGTTGACATTTGTGCTGTGCGAGGTGTCTGTGCTGTTGGCAAACTGGCTTTCAGTTTTGGCTTCCCGGAGAAGGAGCGGAAGGGGGAACTGTCCTGTTTCTCAGTGCCCACAGAGCACCCTCTCCTGGCCGCTGCGCGCTAACCACAGCTGGTGCCTGGTGTGCGCGCCTTTGTCTCTCTAAATCTTGTGTAACTGTTTGCAAGTAGACTGCCAATCTGTGTGACATAGACAAAGACGCCCACAAAAATCCCCCCAGGCAAAAAGGCCTCGACTTCCTTACTATGTCACCGGCGCTTAACGACACTGTCATTGTCACCTAATCATTTTGCTTCCTCCCTGATGATTTATTTACAATTCTACATGAGTGAGAAATGAGCGTCTACTGCAGTTGTTTTCTGTCTGTGCCCCTTTGAAGGAGAAAGTGGTTGGGAGGGAAGGACAACCTGAAAGGGGGTGCATTCCCCCTCCGGATTGGATCCTAACATGTGAAGGTTAAGCGCCCAGGACCTGGGCTCAGGCTGTCTACAGTGATATCCTGCTCTGACATTTACACTAGGTGTGTGCCTTGGGCAAATAATCTCTCCCCATACCTCATCTGCAGTATGGGAACGTAACAGAGCCTGTCTTATAGAGTTGCGAAGATTAAGCGAGTGAACATGTAAAACACTTAGAACTGTGCCTAGTACGTCAAAGTTGCTATAGGTCAGCGGGGATGAACATCATCAGAGGCGTCACCAGGTTAAATGGAAAGACCGTTTTGGCCACTGTTCCCACAGGAACGCTCTAGATCTTGATATGTGCCACATCCCAAAGCAAAGGTGAGACAGAACCCTAACCCGCCTACTCTGCGCAGTGCAGGACCAGCAGTCACCCAGACACTCCCGACCCCGAAAACCTGGCTTCAGGGAACCCCTCCCCTGTCGCCCGCGCGACACACCTGGGGAATGGCACGGGGTGCAAAGGCAAACTGCTAGCGCGAGGGCGCGGGTCCCTACCTCTCCGGACTGAGGAGTGTGTTTGGGAGGTTTTTCCTACCTGCCCCAGGTTTTTGCCCTTCTTACTGCCGCCGAAAGCCAGTCCTTGGTACGTGCCCGCAGATCGATTGGCTGCCTGGGCAGGCGTCTCCCCGCCCAGAGAGGACTTGATGGAGTTGAGTTTGGCCCGCGAGCTGCCGATCTGTGAGCTCTCCACCATCAGCACCGCCGCCAGTAGGAGCAGGCAGCGGGACGAATCCTTGCCCCGCATCCACGCGGCCATCTCCCGGCGAGGGGGTCCTCAGGAAGGTTCAAAGCCCCGAGGGATGCGTATGCAAGGAAAGGGAGGACCCCAACACGGGGCCTCTCTCACTTCGGGCGCGGTGGCTCGCAGTCTCTGTTCTCCCAATCCTTCCTGATTCGGGGACCCAGGACTGTGTGAACTCCGTCTCAAGCCTCAGGCCAGAAACTAGCGCGACCCAAGGAGACCCGCTTCTCCACTAGGGCAGGAAGTTCTGCAATAACTGGAAACAATCAAAGGCGAGGCGCCTTCTCGCCAAGGAGGCGTGACCCAAGGTGCAAGAGACCCAGCCCTGCGGATCGCACCGCTTCGGCTGCTCCTGGCTGGTACCTCTGTGGTCCCGCCGGCACCTCTGCGGTCCAATCCTCCTCTTAATTGACCAGGAAGTTCGCGCCCATTCCTCCTCCGGACTCGGTTGCTTTCCTCGCCTCTCTTTTCCTACCCTTTCTGTCTCAACCTTTGCAGGACACAAGTGCTTCTTCTCAAGGTTAACAGGCGCTTTAATGGGGGATCAGGAGCCGTCCTCGGACGGCACCTTCGAGCTCGGAGGCGTGCCGAGGTCCCCCACGCGCGCACTCACAGCTGCAGGAATCGCTGTGCCCTGGTCCACACGGGACAAACGCTGCCCGCGAGGCAGCGATGCTCTGTAAGCAGACTTGGGTTCAGCGCGGACTCCCGCTTGCTCTCTGCTCCCCCCCCCCCCCACGCCCTCTTTGCTTTTTATAGCTTCTCACAGTGGGTTTTTTTCCCCTCCGCCCCCAATTCAAGAGTGACAAA